CTATATTCACTGTTGTCAACACGAGCAAATAAATTTCTACATGGGTACGATTGAACGGTAAACATTGTAGAAGGTGTTTCCGGTATGAAAGCAAAAGAGGCAGAGATGTTCTTCGCGTCAATGCTTGCTGGTTTCTATCGCTTCCTTCCACAAAGCGTGAATTCTCTCGCCTCATACTTCTTCCTCATTCTATATATAGACCATCTATGTCTATAATCTATATTGTCGAGAAGCAAACTCTCCACACGTTGCAGAATTTACGCCGCACGATATACATACAAAGCACCTAATAATGTGCTAGGTTACTCATTTAATATTGCAACCCTATTATATTTATGACGACTATTGTTGTCGAAATATTTTATTACCATATTATTTTCTTTAACTTCAGGACAATATTTACTTTAATATCGCTATTCAAATATTTTTAATTATTTTTTTACTTTTAAAACATCCAACTCAGAACTATTTTAGTACTAGGATTATAAATTAAATGTGTTTTTCTTTTATAAACTATTTATACATTAAATATTAACGATTTTATAAGCATTTTTTGCTGCTTATTAACTTTTTTATTTATTAAGGCCTTAACTTCTTCTTTAGAAGAGTTATTCAGCATAAACATTGGATACAACTTATTTACAATTGATTCATTGGTGAAGACATCGTATAATCACAGTTTACAAATGTTACAAATACTAGGGAATTTACTATATAATTATATTGCCAAACCTATTTTCACGAAAAATTTACATACTTGTACACAGGCTGGTATGAAAGGTTTTTTTAAAATTTCTATTATATCAAAGTAAGGGTTTAGTATTTAGAAAATAGAATTATTTTTAAATTGAGATAATAAGTAAAATTGATTTGTAAGATTTATATAATGTGTGAAAACATAATAAAGTTAACAAACATAATTATTAATAAAATTTTATTCTACTTTTGTGAAGAAAAAGAAAAAATAATTATCATTTTCTGATGTATATTAAAGCAGTTTTTCTGGATGGATCTTAATATTTCATGTGTTTGAGAATTGGAAAAATGTGCAAGGTTTTACAATTCTGTCTGTTTGTCTATCCATCTGTCAGCTCGAACGTCTATCTATTTCTAAGGCTACATCCTTGGAAAGGATTCAAGGGATTTTATTCTGTCATTTGAAAGTTTAACTCAATCTAAAAATACTTGAGCAATCTTGAACGATTTTCAAGAGTACTATAAATATTTATTAAAGTTCTAATACTTATATTATAGTCTGCTTATGAAATTAATCATTCAAAAAAAAGTATATTACTCATTAAATGAAATGAAATTAAAAAAAAGCCTCGTATTTATTTAAGCTATACTGCAATTCCAAGTTTTATTTAAGCTTGTGGAAAAAACGTAAAATCCTTTAACCTAGTTGAAACTCGTCAGAGTTTTGAGCTCAATACTAGAAGAGAGAGCGAGAGAGAGGTTGTGCCACGTGAAAGAGGGGATGGAATAAGGGTTATGGAAGAGAAGGAGAAATGGGTGCTGAAGGGTTGGTTAGGCAGCCACAGCCACCAACACGCCACGAGTCGTTAAGCCCATTTTGTGGTTTTAATGTCGACGCGGTAAATTGTTAGGCCTAGCAATCAGAGGACTTGGTGTTCACAGATTGCCATAAATAACACACATCTTGAGATCACGTCATTTCAATTCTACTGATGTTGATGCCATTTCAACTATTCATTTCCATTCTGATTGTATATCATCCAATTGAGTGTGATAATTTAGATGCTTTGTTTATTTATGATTCTGTCATGATGGGTATGAATATTGATAAATAAAACATCTGATGGCCATGTTATCTTTAGCATAAAACAGACAACTTTCTTAGTCATTTCTATATACCTAGAATCACCTATTCATGAGTTTTGTGGTCGCGTTGAAGTACGACATTGTGCTTGACATTTATACAGGGCACACGATTCCTCTATATATGGCCAATTTCCCTTTTCACAACATTTATGTCATTTTCATCCTTACATATTATTTCGTGGACGAGTCTTTCAAAAGAAATACCCCATGGAAACTCAGTTATTCTGTATTTTCGCTATGACAACGTACAGAGAAAAATTTATTATTCTTTTTGAAAGATATTTTTTATAGTATTTTAGTCTTATTTTATATTTGTAATTTTCACATGATGGATAAAGCAGTATTTCAATTTATTAAATAAAATAAAAATTATTTGTCGTCAATCTATTTTTTTTTATTAATTAAATATTTATATAAAAATCATGAAAAATGTAGGAATTTGTTTTAACAGTATTTACAGAAGAATATTTTTTTTTAATTAGAAATTTAAATTTCACTGAACAAAATAAAAGTATGAACAAATATTCAAAAATTGACTTCAATTATTTTCACAATATTTATAAATTGTAAATCATGATATTTATTTAACAGTTAAATGATTTTGTAAAAACTAATGTCATAATATTGAGTAAATTGAAATAGTACTAAAAGTAATATAATTGTCATTAAGAGTGTCATTAATGTGTAAGTAAGTTGTCTAATGAAACACAATATTACTATGAAAGATAGGTATAAGCTTTGCTCTTTTAATGAACTCAATTTAACAAGAAGAACTACACGTACACTTGATTTTTTTTCCTCAGCAAAAGTATTATCACAAATCCAAATGAAAAAGTAGTAAAAGAATTAAATCGAAATAAAAATCGCGTAGAAATCCTAGACATCGAAAAGAGATATGATTGCCTTCAGGTCACGTAGTATATCCATCATTTCGACGTTACGAGCTTTATCACTCAACAAAAAGTTTCACTGGGTATGTATATATATGTGTACGTGTATAAGTGTATACACATTGACGAAGAAAACACAAGAGCTGGAAAACGTCTCTCACTTTTTTTCTTAGCTTTGCACAAGCACTGTGAAAGAGATGTACACCGTGTGCTGTGAAGCACGTTGGGGAATAAGGCAAAAAGTGGGCTCGAAGCTTGCTGATTGGAACCGGAAGTCCAAATGAAACGGTGCCGGAAGACACAAACACGGTGGTTAATACAGCGGAAACGATTCGTCGAATCATTGGTTGGTTTGCAATCGATACTTTTATGGCATTTTTTACGTGCCCGTACGATAGCACGATATATGTTGAGTTGAAATGAATTGGTTGGCAAAGATAGAGAAAGAGAAACGAGCGTCAGAGCATCACATAGAACACAAATAAAGAATAAAGGAATTTTTGTCTCGCCTTTGATACAGATTCACGCAAACGTCTGTCGACGTCAAAGTAGATCCGTCGCTTGCGGGACAAATCGTTCGGATAAATCCCTTCATTTATTATTCTCTTCCTTTTCATCTCCTCTACCCCTACCACATAGTAATCTCCTTCGGTCTCACTTGACGCTTGAAATTCGCTCCACCAAGCGGGCTAAATCTTCCAATGATTTCACAGTTCAAAAATTCTACAAGCCTCCCGGCAGTTCCGTAAAAAGCCAGATCAGGCAGTAGAGTCCTAAGAGTCCATGGAGTATAAAATAGAGCACGTGAGGGATTTTGCATCCCTTGCAAACTAATCGTTAATAGCCACGTTCCCCCATTGATCGACAGCTTTCTCATACCCATATCCGCCCATCAAATTACTTTTTTTTCTTTTTTACCTCTGCTACTATTCGCGTGAATTTTTTAAAATTACTCTTCTATTATTTGTACTTCACTAAAAAATTAGTTAAATCATTCAGTTTATTCAACTAAAATATCATCTTGTATTTTGTCATGTCCATGCCCGGTTTTTTTTTTATTCATTATAATGTACAGGAATCTTTTTTTCCTGTCTACATTTATACAAGAATTTTTTGTTTCTCTCTATTTGTCTATTTTTCCTATTGGCTTATTTTCTGCTCTCTGGCAAGTATGTTTTGGTAGTCATTCGTTGTGTAGATACAGTAAGATTTACGTGACGCACAAGAAAAATCGCATCCGGCTTTCGTGCACCTCGACCGCCAAATGCTGAAAATGCATTTAACCAAGAGATAAATATCACAGTTAAAAAAAGCAAGAGAATAAGTGAGGGTTATAAAGAAAGAATAAACCTGTTAAATGTCAACACTTTTTAGTTGTATTTGATGCTATTTCAAATAATAGATTTCAAGTAAATATCAATTTATCGGTGTTAATAATTAGAATTTGAATGAAAATAAATTTAATCTCAGTTATAATTAAATAGATTTTATTTTTTATTCCAAAATTAAAAATAACAATGATTTATTTTGAGATGTTATTTTAGGAAATCCACATTGAATACTTGAACAGGTAATTTTTATCTTAATTTTACTTAGATATATTTCATCTTTTACATACTCTCTCTCACACTATTTTTCGATTTTTCTAAGGATAAGGTGAGTAAGGTGGTAGCAAGGTGATACGCCGCGGGTGTCAATGCCAGAGAGAGGGTCGACGAGTAAATTGAAGCGATCCATTATACGGGGGTGTTGGGTTGTCGGTTGCTACGTGACGAAAGCTACAGGGGGGCAGAGGTCACAAGGGAGAAAAGACTATAAAGAAAAGTTGAGTGAAAGAAAAAGAAAGATGAAGAGAAAGTGGATACTATTAAGCGTGAATGAAAAAAATGCATTGAGTGGAGATACTTGCACCTGCAACATCTTTATAATTTTTATCTTTATTATAAATTATCAATTATTTTTTACCATCATTATTTCATTCTTAGCAATGTCCTTTTGTTAATACATTCTTATCTGAAAAATTTTTTACATGATGGATACGTGTTATATTTACATATTTTAGACTATTATTTCGTAGTGGTAAAATTTTTTTCTAAAATAAATTGAAAAATTAAATTTTCAATAAATATTTATGATTTTTAATATTTATCAAATTCTTTATGGTATTTTTATATTGAAAAAATAATAAAAAATTTTTTAATAAAACAATTTATTTATTAACTAATCAATCCACGTATCATCAGTTAAATTATTATAATGAATTCTGTACCAACAAAAAACAATGATAATGGTAACGATGATACAAGATATAAATTTTTTCTACATATACACATTGTATGTTTTGATATGTAAAAACTGTTCACTGTTTCACATTGATTGTTTTTTCAATGAAACTATTTCTATAATAATTTCTTTCAGGCACTTAAATTGGCTTTATCACTATATTAATGCTAAAAATACATATGTGGATGATATGTGTATCTCATAATCGACTCAAACATAACAAAAACCCCGAGACTTGTAGAAGACTAAAATCTCGGATGCTGTATAAATCTCAAAAACGTTTGTTTTAAAATTTATCATTCATAACAATGAATAGAGAATATAGTTCTGAACTTTTTACACTTATAAATGTAAGTAAACAGTTATATTATTCACAAACGAAGAAAAAACAAAAATATAACATCAGAGTGAAATTGTTTAAAATTGTTCTTCTTTTAAACATAATTATATTCAATATTTATCTTAAGAATAATTAAAAAAAAAAAAACAGTTATTCTTTCATGAATTTGTAAGAGATGTATACAAATTCGAAAATAGAATTATGTGGTATCAACGAGGATATCTGAGTCATATGGCGTTAATAATATTAACATAAATTATAAATCTATTACGACAATGATAATTTTTAATTAATGGTCAATTTACATTAATAATTTAAATAAATGTTTTTGTATGAGATAAAATAAATACTTGATATAACAAAGTATTTATGACGAATTAATTAATCGAAATAATTTATAAATTTCAACTAATTTTCTAAAATGATAAATAATTTCTAAACAGCAATCAAAAGTCAAGGGATAAGCAAAGTTCCACGCTATATAGTAGAAATCTTCCTCAGAACACTTTCATTCTGCCGTAAAATTCACCAGCTTAACGTAAATCTACTCGCAATAACATCTACGACTTTTGAAATACACTGAATTTATTGCCAACTGTATATCTTAGCTCTGTTAACCCTGGATATTGTATTTCTCACGTTTTTATGGGTGTCTAAAAAGTGCATGTAATGTCTTTATAGCTGTATCATTCGCTTATTTTGATACCGTACAAATAACATCAATTTTTTATATTCTTCTTTTAAAGGTAAACTTTGGAAGAGTTAAAAAGTCATAAGAACATAAAAGAACAAAAAATGATCGTAAAGCGCACGTCCTGCGTGCGAATACATTATTGTCTTTTTCACGTGAAAAGAAAAAGGTATGAAAAAGTGTGAAATATATTCGATAAAAACCTCAAACGTTCGCAAAGGTTAAGTAGAAATAGATAAAATGACAAAGTCCAAGAGGAACTTGGAGAATAACGAAGAGTGGAATTCCTGGTGAAATTCGATCAGGCTGAAAGCCAATTGTTGACCAATTGTCGATCAGTGAGTCATTCCTCTTCTTCCTCTTCACTCTTCCCTAGTCAAAGTACCATTTCCAATTTAACAGTGTCCAGAATGCATTCACCCGCTCAACAAATCATTGATATCACTATCCTCAGGTGTACTTCACCAGAACAAGTAAGAGGGTTCATTCTTTGAGGTATGTAGACGTTCAATACTTTAAAGTACTTGAAAATTTGACTTTTGGTGTCCTTATTTGTCTCTCTTGAGAGAAAATAGTTGGAGACTGTCAAGACTTTAGACTACGCTACTATATCCATTTCGGATGACGAATTTGATGTAGTAGGTGCAAGACTGCCAAGAGTCTCCTCATCTGGTAGAGAATGATGACAAGCGGGTGCAGGCGGACTAAGGGGAGGTAAATGTGGAGACGACAGCATTGGATCACCTCCATGTACTGGGCCTCCTGCATCGTCTTCCATTAGATCCTCAAATTGTGCCAAGCCCAGGACTGTTGGTTCCTCTGATACGACATCTGGCATCTAGAATTATTCACCATTATTATCATCATCCACACGTATATTTATATTTTTTATCAAATAATCATTTATTATAATTATCGAAAATATAGCATACTTTTCTCTTTAATACTAAGCTATTAAAAAAAAGCAATATGTAGAAAAAATGAAAGTTAAATCCTAACCAACAGGCTTTTGCTGGATTTTCTTGCTCGAACGCGAACGAGGTAAGAAGTTTAGATATCTTTCAATCCTGGACAAACGCGGTTAAAGTTTCCTTGAAACAAACAAGTTCCGCTTTTCAGTGACAAAACGATGGCTTTGAGAAAGTGGTGAGTTGAAACGAAGATGAGAGAATCCAAGAAACTTTGACTTTAGTCGCATAAACTGGTAGATGAATAACCGACACTGGTAATTTGTATTTATATACAGATATTTAGAGATATATATATATATATATATATATATAAAGTCTGTAGATATTTGGATATATAAACTGTATTTACTTAGAGACTCGTTAACAACAAAGATAAAATGAAAAGTAAGAAAGTACGAAGATGAGATATTCTATATTAACTGATAGAAGTTACTTTCTGAAAAGATATCGTTGGTCTTTGAATTTTCCAGTTAATGAGAAGTTACTCACTGTACTATCAAGAGCAATTGCTTTGCAATAAGGAAAACTCGTTTCAGAAATATTACTTTCCTTTTATTTTTTAAAATTTATTTTTCTACATATTAAAAAGGAAAAAACTAACGTCATATAATTTCAAATGTTTTCATGAATTAATAATAAAGGTTATTAAGTATAATTTGATAGTTAAATTAATGATAATAATTATGATTCATAATGATGATAATTTTATGTTTATTTAAGAGAGGAAAAAAAATATTTCAAGTTTAAAAGTAAGACGTCTGATTAAAGAAATGAATTTGGTTGTCATCTTGAGAAATTTTTTAAATAAGTTTCTTTGCTCACCGGCTTATTGAAGAGGATTGAGCAAGAACAAGAAAATAGAAAAAAAAGAAGATTGAAGTTTTAACAACAGTAATAATTCAATGTCACAAGTGTCGACGGATTCTGTTTAAAGAATTGTCGAGACTACCGTGCACACTATTGCACTATTTTTCACCTTTTTCTAATAATATCTTATTTTACAACACAAAAAATTTCATATTACTATAAAATCCTCGTTTTAATAAGAGAAACGAATAAGTCTCTCAGTTCATGACTAAGCTACAAAGGATGAATAAAAAATTCTTACTTTTCGTCGGTCGTGTTTACTTCTGGAGAAGGAGTTGACAGCACTAACAGACGTGGAAGCCCAATTGAAATCCGTCACTGGAAGCCCGTGAGCTTTTGCTTGAAGCTCAAGTTCTTGAACGCGCAGCAGAAGCCGACGATTCTGGTGCTCAAGTTGCTTGTGCCTCGTTTCACTCTGTTTCATTCGCAAGAGCTCATTTTTCAGGAGTTTTATGTACTCTACTGAGGACTTTAATATCGTTCCCTTGTTTGGTCTTACGTCCCTGACTATTTCATAGTACCTGCGGACATGGACGACACTTGATGACTTCATAATTAAAAATGTAATCATAAAAAATATTTAAATACAACAACTAAAGACTATTCATTAGATTAAAAATAAAAATTTCTCTTATAATTTTTATCATATAATCCACTTATAGTCTCTCACCAAAATATTGGAATAAAAATTTACGTCATGTCATTGGGTTGGATTATTTTTATATTATTTTCAGGGAGTTCCCGAGTTGAAGTAATTGACTTACGTTGGACTTACTTGGACGTATGGACATGAAAGTAACTTGAATGAACATAAATTACATAAACTTTTATATTTATATCTCTAAGTAAGCTCGACATAAGTCAATAATTTACAACTTGAGTTGTAATATAAATTTCATTGAGATGGTGTTGAAAATTATCAACATGTTACTAAATATCTGGTAATACATTGCTAAATATCTCCAGCTTTATTATCATCTCTGAGATAACATAAAATTCTTGCAATGCTTTAATATTTTCAGTGGCTTGTACTAAAATGACTACAGTTGCAAATAAAACATAACTCATACAAATTTAACAGACATTCTTCACTATAATGCATTTTCTTCTCGGCTTTCTTCCAACAAAGCTGGAATGCTTCCAGTAAAAATTTTACCATTTTATACGACATTTAGAAGAGTTATTTTTATTCTAAAATCTTGTTTTTCTTGCTCGAGTTAATCAAATAATAATATAATAGTATTTTCACACAATTTTTCTTTTTCATTATTGATTATTGGGGTGGATTATTTCAATGGAAAATACCTTTTTTTTTTTGTAATAGAATACAACAAACTAGATAATATATAAATGATTTTAATCCCCTATTAAAGGAGAAGATGTAATGTGGTCACACATAGAGAACAAATGAGGGATAGCTGTGCAATTTTTAAGTCCTAGTGGTGGTCGTCGACACTGACTAATGGATCTCAACCCTCAGTTAGATTGATAAATGGTTGATCCATGAGGGCGTCTTCCGTATGCAGAATGCTAGAGCTCGTTAGCTCAACAAGACTTTGCGCCAACACATATAGAGTAAATAACTACTGATGCAAAGCCAACAAGAGATGCCTCCAGGCCTCCGCTTCGCACGCTCAACGAGTTGATAATCACGTTGAAGAGTTGGGACGTTAATAGAATATATTTCTCAGAAAGATATTTTCCCTCACGAGAATCAAAAGACGAAGACTATTTCAATTATAATTAATTAAACAAAAGTCACTTTTGTATTATAAAGCTTAAAAATTATTCTCTCTCTCTCTCTCTCTCTCTCTTAATTTTAATTTCCCTTCAACTCTTTTAATTTGTGTTTTTTATTGCGAATACTTTTACTACAGAAAGTTTTTATATATTAGAAAATTAACGTTTATTTTCTTTAAAAATTAAATTATATAATTGTAATAAAAAAAAGTATCTTTCTAACATATCCTAGAATATTTTATTTTTTTATTTTTAATGAGAGTTATAAGAAGTGATGAGCAGTTATAGATTATTGATTGATTTTTAATCATCAATATCAAACATAAAAGTCATGACGATTTTCATAAAAATGAATGGTTATATAATTTACAGAAAAAAAGAATATATTAATAAAATTTTATTAACGAACATGCTTCAAAAATCACTTTATGGCTATGATTGTGAAGTAAATGAGGTAAGAGGAGATAAAAAAAAAAAAGGAAAAAAAACAAACAAAAGGATAAGATAAGAAGAAAAAAAAAATAAACTGGCATTCTGGCACAAGAAATGAAATGAGAAATGAAGAATGAAATTCCCAAGGAAGCCTTTCATTTTTGTGCTATAGTAAAAGGAACTATAGAGGATCTGACCTGCACTCTCTTATACTCTGACTAATACGAAAGAGAAAAATAATGGCTGTAGTACGACTGAGAACTGAGTCTCTCGAAGGCAAAATCTTAAATCAAGCAAAGAAATCACGGGTCACTGACAATGTGCATATGAAGGTCTAGTCTTCTTGTGCATCAACCACACCGTCGTTCTGATTTTTCTTACTTTCCATTCTCTTTCAATGATTTCACTAGTTTCACTAGAATATCGAATCTTTTCCTGAATAAATAATTTTCTATTTATCATTCCCATCATCATCATTATTGATAAATTGATTCAACTATCAATTATTCACAAGTTTGATAATTATCCGAAATAATGATAATGGAAATTTAAAGAATAACAGAGTTTACTTGATAAGTGCGTAAAATAATTGCACAAAATTTAATGGAAATAGTGAAGGTTGAAAAATACAATTTGTGTAAAAGCTCTTTTCCGCTACTCATTGGATTCCGACGAGTCTCTTTACTTTATTTCTTTTTATGTCTCTCTTTACTACATTGACTGCATAACTCAGGTCTATAAAGGAAAATAGGGGAAAATTGAAGGGGTGGAATAATAGACGAAAATCGTAACTCATGAATTGATGCATAGCCTAATGAATTATTAATTATTCAACTTGAATAAATCAAGTATGATATACTTACGGATCATTAGTTTTTGGTAAAAGTGTACCAAGTTCCTTGATCCTATCATTGATGTTAAATCTCCGTCTTCGTTCAACTGAAAAATAAAATTAAAAAAAAACAATAAGTTCATCTCATTATTTATCTTTGTTTTTTTATCTATTCAAGCAAACCTGACATTCTTTCAGTTAATTAATCTAAAATTAGGCTTCACTAATAGCCACAAAAAATGACATCAATATATGCGTGTATTTTTTTCAACATTTTTCCATCCTTTAGACCTATTCGATCATTTTGAGTTGCCACTTTGGTTCTCTGCGACGTCAACATGAATTCGAAATGTTTATTCTACTCACGTATTACAGTACGTTCAAGTGGAATCTTGTCGTATCTATACGCGTACTTGGATCACAAAAGACAAAAAAAAAATAATAGTGGCAAATAAACGAGAGAGATGGAATATTGTAAAAAAAAAAATCATGCGTATATCTAGGATAGCTCGTTATTAGTCTACGAGCATGAGATATAATAAACGTAAAATTTTGCAGGGTGCTTCATATTTTTTGTCGATCGATCTACAAATATCTGACGAATATATCCCCAGCATTTTTCCAATCCATCAATATGTACATTCAGTTATATGCATGAATAAAAGTTACACTGCAATGCTCACATAACGGTAAGATTTAGAATTATATTCTCAATTTCTGTCAGCTTGATCATTATCATTTCGGATCAACAACATATTTATTTATTTCATTGATGTGACATAGATTATCTAAAAGAGTTGTACTATTTCTATATATAATCTTCAAAAATTAATATGCATCTAATTTCACTACGATTATAGATGAATTCAAAAAAAATATTCAGGATATTTTTTTTGTGATTGCCATCAATATGTGGATTTATCAAGATGATGATAGACCCTATAAAAAATTTTAGTTCCCCAAAGGTTCCCCAGCGTATCCCTCGTAGAACTTTGGGGAAAAAATTTTTTTTTGTTACTTCTATGCTAATGATGCTACGGGGTTGATCGAGGACTCAAATGAAAGATCTTGACGAGAGAAAAAAAATCAATATAATTAAAATCATACTTGGAGCATAATTTATGCAAAACTTGAAGTAAGTTCCGGTTTTACCCCATTTTAGGAGTGAAATAATTGATTTTTCAAATGTTTGACCTGATTCCGCATTTCTAGGCATTGAGACGAAGAGAATGAGTCCTCGATCATCAAAATCGGACAACTTTGATTTTTCGACCCCAAAAAATGGCAAGTGGTACCCCTTTCCATTTTTTTTGGCCAAAAAATAAAAGTTCTCCGATTTTCGAGTTTGACCACTCATTCTCTTCGTCTTGATGCGTAGAAATGCGGAATCGGGGCACCGCCCAGAAAAATCCACTTTAACACCCTTAAAAACGGGTTACACTAAATACAAATTATGGATCATCATCTCCTTGGCTTTAAACCCTTATAACTCATGAACGGACGGTCCAATGATCATTTTTAGGGACGTTTTAGAAACGTGAAAATTTAAGCTATCTAACAATATCTATAAATTTATCGAAAAAAATTTCTTTCACCCTTAAAATCGCTAAAATATAAAAAAAAATTACATTTTTCTTGGAGTTTACCAACTATTTTGGCCATTTTGAGGGTGAAATAAATTTTTTCAACGTTTTTCACGGATATGTATCTTTAGCTTAGATTCTAAAGTTTTCAAATACCTCCTAAAAATCATCATTAGATGACCCGTATGAGAGTTATAGAGGTTTAAAGTCGAAGAGTAGATGATTTTTGACCCTTACTTTGACTTTGAACCTCTATAACTCTCATACGGGTCATCTAATGATGATTTTTAGGAGGTATTTGGAAACTTCAGAATCTAAGCTAAAGATACATATCCGTGAAAAATGTTTTAAAAATTTATTCCACCCTCAAAATTGCCAAAATAGTTGGCAAACTCTCAAAAAAATATGATTTTTTTTATATTTTAGCGATTTCAAGGGTAAAAGAAATTTTTTAAACATTTTTCATGGATATGCGTGTTTAGCTCAGATTTTAAGCTTTCCAAAACGTCCCTAAAATCAGCTATTGGACTGTCCGTTCATGAGTTATAAGGGTTTAAAGCCAAGGGGATGATAGTTTGTAATTTGTATTTAGTGTAACCCGTTTTTAAGGGTGTTAAAGTGGATTTTTCTGGGCGGTGCCCCGATTCCGCATTTCTACGCATCAAGACGAAGAGAATGAGTGGTCAAACTTGAAAATCGGAGAACTTTTATTTTTTGGCCAAAAAAATGGAAAGGGGTACCACTTGCCATTTTTTGGGGTCGAAAAATCAAAGTTGTCCGATTTTGATGATCGAGGACTCATTCTCTTCGTCTCAATGCCTAGAAATGCGGAATCAGGTCAAACATATGAAAAATTAATTTTTTCACTTCTAAAATGAGTCCTCGATCAACCCCGTAACATTATTATTTTCGAAGATAATCAAATATTTAATAATTGTATCGAAGATGAGAAATGTAGATTTACAATTAGAATAATTGATTAGTTATCGTAAATAATGTAATTATTCATTTATTTCAGAGTGTTACGACAGGTAGAGTCAAGCTGTTACATTAAAAATGACGTGGTAATTGGATGATCAAAGATGAATGACAATAGTCGATGAATTGGAGCTATCTATGAAATTTATTAGAAAATCTTGTGATTATTATCATTAATGTATTCAAGAGAAACTGGGGTATATTGATCGATAAACGAGCGATTAGTGGTCACATTAACACGTATAACACCCATAAACTTGAGTGCTGTAGGACATTAGGACTCAGTGATAAAGTCAGATCTGCATCGTTATGACGAATGAGCTCCCTTTAACCCTTCAGTTCGCTATTACCACTTGCGGTTCACACAGTTAATATACTTGAAATTCAATTATTATTATGTTTAAACTTTTTAAATAAACATTTAATCACATTCATCAAACTCTATATTCGACCAATAATGGAATAAATAAAAAACTCGAAATAAAAGATGAAAAATACAAAGGCAATTTGATTGTATTTCGTTTTCTATAATTCCAATAAAAAGTTTTGTTAAATTCAATATGTAGTTAACTGAGATACAGGACAAACAAAAAATCCAGGATCTTGTTGATTAGATTACAATAGTTAATTTAAAAAGCACAGTCAATGATTTGATCCTAACGAAAAACTTTGTTTGAGACAATTTTCTTTGAAACTAATCTAAAAATAGTTTTCAAAGTAGCCCTTTTATGTTTTATTTATGTTAATGAAATTTTTGAAACTTTTTATCCTTCAACAACTAGCTAATGCTTTCAGTGCTACACCTGCTTCGTGTTAAACCATTTTTTTTTATTGTTCACAAAATAAAGTAGGAATACTGTCAGATTCATTGCTATTTTTAAATGACAGATTAACACACTAATAAAATTTTTATAGATGAAATGAAAAGAGAACGATGATTAAAGAAAGTAAGAGGCTTATGAACATTTTTTGAAGTGGATATAAATATAAATATATAATGAAATATTGTCTTTGATTATAAAGTAATATATCTCGTAAATATAAAAATTTTTTTTCCATTTTCTAGTAAAATTTTATGAATTATCATTTGCAAAGCTTAAAAGATGTATAAACTATTACAGCACGAAAAGTAATACATATTTTACGGAAAAAATTTTTTTTTTAAATTCAAATAAAAAAAAATAAATTGTCTGAACGAAAAAGAATAAAATACAATAGACAAGAATATATATATCATGTGTTGAAAATAGGTACAATTGAACAATAAAAACGAAATCACGTAGGTTGAAGAGTCACGCGTGATAAACGTGTAGCACTTAGTTTTTTACGATCGCTTTCTTTTCTCAGGTATCTCGAGGTTGACGTGAGAGCAAAGATTTTGAGAAAATCCCAATACTGACCGATAACGTACGATCGATATAGATAGATTGAATGGTTAAAAGAGCGGAAATAGAGAAGAGTATAGCTGAAGAAGATGCGGCAAAGAAATTGGCTTGAGAAGGCAATGCGGCGTTGTAAACGAACGAAAACTCAAATGAAGAAAAAGTTACGAGGAAGAAACGAAAAGCAGAAAGCAGATGGTTTGCTAAAATTACAATTTTATTTTGTATGTATGTTTCTAGTTTGCCCACAATTTCAATGATCTTCTATCTTCTATCTATCTATGTATGTATATATATATGTATGTATATATATCTAAAACGTATATATATATATATTTTTCTATTTCATTTTTTTTTATTTCGATCACTCAGTCTCTTTCACTCTTTTTCTTCTTCCTTTTTTTGTTACTTTTAAACTTCTATCCGATACTTCTCAACCCCTACAGCATCATCCTGACTACACTATCGTTTTCTTAGTTTATCGTTCACACATTCTTCCAGTGTTCTTCAACATACAAGTGCACTAACGAACTCTCGAATTTACAAGATACTTGACTTTGTGACAAAATAAAATTTTCAGCAATCTAAAAAAATACACACACACATTAGTCCATGCCATTTATTTTTATGATATGTCGTATTTATTACAATTATCTTGACTATAATTCAGTGACAATTAGTACACTATTATCGAGAAATTTAATTTATTATTCATATTATATTTTTTTTGTTGAATTAAATTAATTAATTTTTTAAATGATTGTTACTTATGAATAAATAAAATAACAGCAAGAATAATAGTTTCATTAATTTTATTTTCCATCAACTTTATTAGAATTATCTGGATTATACTTGTGTGATTAAATGGTTTATCTCAAAATTTATTATTGTAAACTTGGTGTAATAAAAGTTTCAACTTACTCATATTGTGATTGTCTTTTTTCTGACGGTCCTTTGCTAACGCGTGGATTTCTGCATCAGTGAGTAGTAATGGTTCTGGTTTTATTTGTAAATCTGGTAAACTTGTGAGACTTCCAACATGCCCATCTTTTAATCCGTCTCCAAGAGAACCAGCTTCGAATGATAGAATATCATCTAGTAGATCTTCTGCCTGAAATGTTACAAATTAATTTTTATTAACTTCAATTTTATGGCAATTTAATTATTAAAGTTGTACAAAAAACGATGAAAAAAAAGAGGATATAATTTCACCTTAACAAGGTTTTGTACTTCAACAGTAAAATATGAATCATTTAAACAAAAAAAAAATTAAATATTAATGACATAATATTGAAGTTATCAACTACCTAAAAAAAAACGTCTATTCTTTTTAAAGCTTTTTAAAATAAATGTATGAAGATATATAGAATTTTATATGATATATTTCTTATAAATAATAGATCAACAGCATATCATTCATAGACACCTGTAGAGACATTGACAAAAAGAATTTCAACATGATGTCATTGTAGAATGTCATGATAAATATGAGCATCATTCATTGATCAAAGTGTCAATAATAAAAATATTCATAATTTAATTGCAATAGTATTCTAATACTTTTAAATAATTAATTTTTGTGAGATATATACAGACGAAACATAGACTGTCATTATATAATCATTAAAATATATATCAAAAATGAAATTTGCAGTTTTTGTTACGTATTTTAGCTGATATAATGGAAGAGATTTATGAGGGATAAATTGTTACATAAACAAGTGTTACGTAAACATTAATAGTAAGGATGGTTACCTTGTCTTAGAAATATTTATGATGTATCCATTAGCACTGAATATATGGCATAAGGGTGTAACATGAACTAGTTCATGGATGATATTTATACTTAAAAAAGAAGTTAAACCTTTTTGTTTAATGAGATCATCTAGAAAATAGTACTGATAAATGTATTTTTTTAAAAAATAAAAAAATAACTTCAACACTTCAGTAATGGGAGATGAAAATATTGCAATCAAAGTTGAAGCTTAATTTAATTTGTAAAATAAAATTGAATGGTGAAGAACTCTCGAAAATATAGTCCCTTGATATCTTTTATATCAACTGTTACTTTTCGTTTACATTTTTTTTATAGGTAAAAGTTATTCGATGTATTTCATGAGTAGTTGACACACGAAAAAAAGAAAAAATATTCAAAAGTTTTGACACTTTCAGATAAAAAGTTTTGACATAATGGCGCAAACATTTTTTATTAGATAGGATTTGCATGTCATGTAAATTTTTTTGACATTATGTAGAAAAGTTTAGTCTATTTGGATTTTCTTGATATACATAAATTAAGTTAGTATATTTATAGAAGTCTTTATTTAACAAATACGTGGAACAAGTGATTTTTATCACCTTACAATTTAATCCAAAAATTTTAATTAACCCATTTTTTGACTATATTTGATGCTCTATGAATATAATATTACATAAACTGACCTTGAATTCATGTTTGTTGAATTAGTAAGTAATTATGTAAACAATGAACTGGAAACGCGTATACACATTTCAATAAACTCAACGAAATACTATTGAAAAAAAAAAATATATTTATAATAAGAAAATATTATTTTTATGAAACAATATGTATTTAGAATACTAGTATAATTAAAAAAAAAAAATAGTATGCATGTCTGATCCAACATAATGCATTACTACTGCTACAGAAGCCATTGTCTACTCAAGGACAAACTAAAACTACTTAATTACCCAAACACTCGACAGAATTTACCGTTATGTTAGAAATATAGCCTTTGTTAATTTTACATTTTTCTATTAATATTTATTCGATATTGTTTTTTTTTTTTTCACTTATTGTTTGTAACTTCATGGTGAATGGTTCGCATATTAATGACTGTGTAGGTAATAAAATCAATCACGTAATGTTACATTAGAAATATGATTATTCGTTTGTATAAATAGATATATTTTTTTCTTTTAATTACAGAAAACTTATGATAATGATTAAAAAAAAAAAAAAAAATATTGTAAAAAACTGAATTAAATATAAAAGAGATTATCGACATATGATAACGTTTTAATATCATTACTAATGGTTTAAAAAAAAATAATTAATTGAGTTAAAACATATACAAGATTTTTTTATGTACCTTATTAAGAGAATTGAAATTCACATAATTAAATAAATGTTATAAACAACAATAGAAAAAAACAGTATAAAGAATGATAAATTGTTTAAAAGTTAATATATAACAAGTATCTTTTTTCAGATGTTCATTATGGAACATAATAGGATAATCGTTGTGAGAAATACATTTTTTTATGAAGATCATAAAACTTATTGCACTCATACTTTCATTGATATTTATTTCCCTATAAAAAGGATGATTAAGACAATGAAGTGATCGACAGAATATATGTGATAATTTATAATAAACGGAAAAATATTTTCAATAATATTTAACACACATCTTTCTGACTTACTAGAGGTAATAAAAGTCTCGTCAGACATTTATTGTCGTTATCATTTTTCTTGTCATATTGAGTTAACTGTGTATCTCAATATATATAAAAGACTCACGTAAATGTCGACGATATATTCAACTAAGCAATTACCTGATGATCAAAAACTACCACAACTTATTTTATTAACTCCAAAAGTTCCTAAATATATCTATCATATCCAAGTCATCGTAATTGAGTTATTATATTATTGATTTAATAAAAAAAAATATATATTCTTATTTCTTTCAAATAAATTCATTTAACCGGAAGTTAAAGTTATGTTATAATTACGCAATAAACGGCCTAATATAATTGCCGTGCAATCGAGAATACCGTAGGCATAAAAAATAATGTGAGGATAGTAGTAACTACAACTTTAATTAATCACACTCGTTACGAGACATCCGGTGGCAGTCTTCCATCCGGTGATGTTACAGCAGATAATACATTCATATATACGTGAAACTATTTTACAACCTCAAACATGGCCCTGGAACGGTGTTATTATTAATATTCACGGACATGAAAAAATAGAGAAGACTCTGTTAACAATCTTGTCATATCACTATGAATGGATTTTTTTTTGAGTGTCAATTATTTGACATGTCATTTTGACGATAACATCATTCCGTTTCTGTTATTAGGTAACTTACTATCCTGTTTTTTTTTCTCTTTTTACGTCACAATATGGTATTTTATTAATTGATTTAATTTTCAAATCTATATGAATTTCAATTTCTTTTTGTCACTCTATGGTGGTGATATTTCATTTACATGAAATATGTATTAACTAAATATATCAGCATAAAAATGAGAGCAACAAGTGGTGTTACTGTGTGTATGCTAATTATTATATTTTTTTTTTGTTGGTGGAATTAATTAAAAATTTACAAAACTTTATTACTATCAGGTGTCAAACGCATATGCAAACCAGAAACGAATGATGCCATGATCGACGATTCATTTGAATTGACACTTGCAGAGAGACGAGGAAAAAATAAAAAATAGCTATTCGGAGTATTACATTTTTCATTTTTATGAATTAAATATTTTTTTTCTTTAGAAATGATATCCGTCATGATTATTTGTTTGTTATATAAAGTGAGCCGAAATGAAGAAAATTACAAATAATAGTTTCTACAATTTATCTTAAATAAAAATAATATTTTTTTCTTAGAATAAATATTAAGAAAAAACTTTTTTATAAATATTTAAATGGATTTTCTAGATTTTTAATCTTTTCCACTTGACATGATTTGATTGTCAATTTATCTCTAAATAGCAATAAAATCCGCAATTAAAAATGATAATAACTGGTATATCCCACTTGAACACCAAGCTAAAGTTTTTAACTGTACTTGAAGAATATAATTCCAAGATAAATAAAATATTTTTCAGAGTATACATTAATATATATTAACACAGTAATGTTAAATACAATTTTTATCCTTGTGTCAACATTGTATAAAAATTAAAATAAAATGGAACGCGACTTAATGAATTGATATAAAATAACTAAAAAACATACAAATATACTATAAGTTTAAAACACTCATAATTCATTTTTATCAATTAAAATTATCACGTTTACGTAAGTTAAAATAAAAAATAATAATTAATTTAAATATTAGATGACTAAAACTTATTTTTATTATAAATTATGCTATCATTATTATGCAAAGTATTGTTTAAAAAAAAATTTTATTATTGAAATAATTTACTGTTTATTTGATTGATTTCAATTACATAACTGTTTCTCATGTAAGCTGTAATTTATCAGAAACTAAAGATAAAACTTTGATAACAACAAGGTTGCACATTACCAATTTTAAATCTTTCAACAGCTTGCACTTCTTTACAAAATTTAATATATTTGTGCTTGCGTGTTTCTGAGTTTATTCATTTAATTTTCTTCTTCTCTTTATTCTCGCACGTTTTTCTGATGTTTTAAGATTACAAGTTATTTTTTCCATTCTCTTTTTTTCTAAACTACAGTTTTGTTATAAACTCATTAAAATTAAATTTTTCTCACAAAGAATTACAAGTGATTTTAAAAATCAAAGTAAATTATTTTAGCTTGAAAAAAAAAAAATAAATTAATATTTAATAATATGCTTTTTTTATTTTATTTTTTTAATTACTCGTACGTCAATCTATTTTGATATTTAAACCTAGTGACATTTAATGTCATCAAATCATAATGGTTTCTCATATTTCACTTAGTGATCAGTCAACAATATCATTTTACTTCAAAAGAAATGGTTATAGAAAAATCTTCCCTATCTCTGCAAAATCTCAATATAATTTTACAATAATTATTATTTGATCAACAATAAGAATTTCATTTACTCAATGTTTTTGAATAAAACTCATAACATTATAAGAATATAATATATATTTATTGATAAGCTATAAGTTCAGTAGTACCTAAAAGATGATCCATATTTACAGAGAGTTACCATAAGTAATCGGTAAGTGTTGATGAGTTATGATTAAATGATATCATAAATAGAATAACAAGGGTTAAAAGAATAGTAAAAGAAAGGTACAAACTATAAAACAAAGAAAAATGAGACCAAAAAAGGTATAGTGAAGCAGCCAAGTAGAAAGATAAGAGCATCAAGAGTAAGCAAATGTAAAAGC